TGTTGAATGAAGTAGCTGAGCCAAAACCAGACTAAAACCAAGGGTCTTTTAAGTCCTAATCCAGTGTACTTCCCACCATTCATCCTGCCTCTCATGAAAGCACTTATACCTTTGGAACTACAATAAGAATTGATGTTTAGAATAATGACATTAACATGTGCTGTAGGATTCTCTATTATCAAAGAAAAATTTGACTCAATTCAATAAACTAAAGTAGAGATGTCATGGTGTATTATTATATTATATTAATACATTTAGAAAAATTTCCAACTGGAAAGACTTTCTGCTTTTTCTTTAGTTAACCAGAAAATTAAATTAACCCAGAACTCTTTATTCCCCAAAAGTCCTTGTTAATTAGGATTGTTGTATAAATCTCTATTATTAGCAGAATTTGTCATCTATTTCATTACCCTGTTTTATTAGGGCAATCTAAGCAGCGTGTCTTTGCTCATATCCTGGTATGTGTATCCTAGTGAAAAAAAAGCATTTTCTGGATCCTCATTTTTTTCCTATTTTTCATGCCATTTGTATAACAACATAGTTTCCTTGTGTCTGTTCCCTATATAAAATAGGAATGATGTTATTGACTTGGCTACTAGGTAAAAGAATTAAATTTAGAGTCTATTTAAAATAAAAGCATTAGTGCTTTGCAACATTGTTTGTGATAGCCGAAAACTGAAAACAACCTGAAAGTCCGTCAATAAAGGACTACTTAAATAAGTTATAGTATATTCATACAATGGACTATTATGTAGCAATGAAAAATAATGAGGACATTCTCTGTTTACCAATATAGAAAGATCTCCAAGTGAAAAAACATGGTTCAGAGCAGCCTGCATAGTATACATTTTTTGTTTTTTTTTTTAAAAAGAGAAAAATGTGTTTTGTTTGTATTTGCATAGAGAAATTCTGGAAGTATATACGGGAAAGCAATAACAGTGATAACCAGATTGGAAAGTAGCAGGATTAGAAGCTGGATGAATGGGAGATAAGATGTGAGAGGGAGTTTTTATATAGCATACCTTTTTATATATTTATACTTTTGAACTATATGTATACATTACCTATTTAAAAGTTAAATGAAAAAAAACAAGCATAACTAAAAGCAATATGTGATTCTGGACTGGATCCTGTTCTGAATAAAAAAATTGCTTTAAAAGACATTAGGACAATTAACAAAATTGGAGTATGGAACATAGATTACATAAAATGACAATATTAAGTTTTTTAATTCATCAACTATACCATGGTTACCTAAAAGAATATCCTTGTTCTTAGGAAATACACACTGAGTTATTAAGGAGTAAGGGTATAGTATATGCTCAAATGGCTTGAAAGAATACAAGAACAATATGTATGTATATATGGGAGGAATGATAAAGAAGTTGTGGCAAAATGTTAAAAACTGGTAAATCTGGATAAACATTATATGAGGGTTCTCTATCTTTTTCTTCAAACTTTTCTGTTAGTTTAAAATTATCTCTAAATAAAAGGTTAATAAAAACAAGCAAACAAAACATTATTACTCTGGAAATTACCTAATTATAAAGAATGGCCAGCGTGCAGGAGCCTCTTTTAAGAATCCTACGAGTTCTGGTTTTTACATAGTCACTTTTCACTTTCTGGTGAAGTTTTGGCCATCACTTTTTTGTCTTTTCCATGCCTGGTGATACTCAGTCAGAGGCAGTGGCAGAAGTGGTGACTGCAGTCTACCTTGAGGTTGAAAACACCTGCCTACCTGCCTCTCATCCTGCCATGTATCTTTGTCAATTATATCTTCTCTACAATTTAGAGGTGACAGCAATAAAACAGTGACAAAACAGCATTTTAAAATACCTCGAACAAAATTTCTAAGGGTATTAATTATCATTAATATCATTAGAGGTTGTATATATACAGTGCTAAAATATATAGTTAATTTAGTAGTGATAAGGCTACAGAAACATTTAAATCTAGTTGTTTAGCATTGAGTGACTGCATTTTTTATTATTATTTTTCTCTTAGGTATTATGACATTTTTATGAACTAACCATCTCTACTCTAATTGACTTAGCATGATAGCTGTGTGAAGATGTTTTGATTCTGGGCAAACTGGCCTCTTAAGCAATTAGGTAGTGAGGCTTATGTCATAGTAAAGTGAAGAGTAAATTATTTGTTTGTATAAATTGTCCAGAGAATGTTTGAATTTCATTATTTTGTATTTTAAGCAAGCTAAATTTCATTGTTCTGAATGAAAGCCCTGAGAGTCTTATCTAATAAATGACACCATATAAATCTGGTATCAACTGAATTGTTAGTGTTCGTTTCCTGTCTGCTTGAGGAAGCTCATGGTTTTGTGGTTTTATAGAAATCTGGAAAGTAGGAATAATAATTATTCCCAATCCTTTTTCTTCTCACTTTACAAAAAGTTTGGGAAGAATTGAGAACCGATGGCTCTGACTTTTCTAAAGCCCTTAAGTAGAAGTACTTGATCAAAACTAACTGTCATTTTTCTATAACTAAGGCAGAAAGCTGCTTTTGCTGCTTGTTCCCACCGCTACTCCAGGCATATTTCACACCTAAGGTAACTAGGTCCCGATGAGAGTCATTTGAGTGTCTTGGGCCTCATTGACTGAATAATGCCCATGCCTATAAATGTGTCTTGAGATTTAGTAAGGTACTTCATATGTTCATACAATAGATGCTCTAGAAGGCTATGGAATAAGTCATGCTAGTGAATACTGTTTTAGTTCTGTGGGGTTTTTTTAAACATCTCTGTAAACCAGCTTAGATCATCACATTTCAAAAAATCAGAATATACCAAAAATATAACTGGACTTAAATATTATTGAACATTGTTTAATCCTGTTTCGTTGATTTAGCACACATTTCAGGATCTTGCAAATTTTCAGGGTCATTATATTGAAAGTAGTTCTCATAATAGAACTCTATAGATACAGAAGATAATAGAAACTAGACTGTGCCTGTACTGATTTATGACAGCTCTTTTACATTTTGACATTCTTGTATATATATTTGTATTAATAAGTACAAAAGGAAAATAATTGTACTGTATATTTCAGAAAATTGAACTTCATATGACACTGAAGGATAAAGCATCTCAAGAATCTACACATATATCCAGAAAAAAGTGCAGTAAAACTGCATTCATTTAGAATTTTCAGTAATTTACACCAAGAAGTCATAATTCTTAAGAACAAAGTTCAAAATAATCTCTTCCATTGTGAATTATGTTTTATTCATAAATAAAGATTTATCCAACCAAAAATCAGTAACTTTTTCAAACAAAGAACTCAAAGAATTATATCTAATTGTGGCTTACTTACCTTTATAGGTAATTATTTTTAAATCTGTAATCCAGTAATTAATTCTTATATTAATTCGTACATTACCTAAAATGTTTTATAGACACGTTATGTTATTATGTAATATAACCCTATTATAAATGGTAATGGTGTCATTAACTTAGTTCATTTTACTTATTTAGTGCCTGTTTGTTCTTAGTTTATACTTGTTAATTCCCTTTATAGTGTGACTTGTACTTGGAAGTAATAAAATCAGATTTCTTTATAAATATTTATGGTACAGACCTTTCCCTAAATCACACTGTAACCCTTTCCTAATTATTACTAGTGAAGTCTGCTTACATCTTCTTTTTTCTTTTTCTTTTTCTTTTTCTTGCCTATATAGCAGTATGTACTGCATACTCCCTGGAAGATTTAATCCTGGATTTTTATGTCTTAACTTCCAGTTAATCAAAATCTTGTTAACTGCCATGTAGGTCCTGGTGTTACAAAGTATGGAAAGTTAGTTGCTTAAAGAGTTTAAATAGATGCTTCTGGTATGGAGTCTTCTTAGCACCTACAGTCATATGGTCAAAAGGGACCACTAAGTAAATTGGGTTCTCTTCTTGAATATCAATCTTTCCAGGAGGGTCTTTTTTAAATTATTGTATCTATGCTTATCTCTCATTGAAAGTATCCCTCAGTAGCAGGTAGCATAAGGCAGACAGGACATACTTTTTGAAATTCTTAAGTTCTTTACTGAGACCTTAAAGTTCTCAAGATCTCCTTTTCCCTCCCTCTTGATCTTAGATGAGATTGAAGTTTACAAGTCTTCAGCCACACCAGTCCCCATAAGGGATGCAAATTTGTGATTTCAGAAGTTCCACCCCCAATAAAAAGCACTATCCAATCTTTTGCACATATCCTCTAGGCCAGATTTCATCACAAATAACTCCATTCTATTGTCATGTGCCAACTTTAAAGTACTGTATTAAGTTACTCTGTAGTCAAAACAACCAAGCCCTGGTCCAGACTGCCATAAGACAAGAGCCCACTGCACTGTCCATTTTGTTCTTCCCATGCATTCAGTGGTAGCTTTCCCTTTTGCTAGTTGACAAATAGTTGAAAGGAAATAGTGAGTCTTTTGTAAAAAGTAGCCAGATTAGATTATTTATAATATGCAACTAAAATCAGTAATCCTTGACACTGGCATGAAGTATTGTAACAGAATAATAGTTACATTTTATTGCAATTTTCTGTAGAGAAACACCCCAGGCTCGTTATTTATAATTTTTAAATTTACGGCTCTTTAACTATCCAGGGTTTCACTGGCAGGAATGCAGTCAGGCTTGAAGCTTTATTAGAGATCCATGATCCAGTCTTTACAAACACTTCCTTTAACTTGTAGTTTCTGTTTAAGTATTTATACTGTCCAGAAAGGTACTGCTACTACTTACAGTCGTTCCCAAAAAATGTGAACTGCCTAGATGTAACACTAACTAAACATGTACAGGATCTGCAGACTAAAAATTACCCAAAAAGCATTGCTTACAGATGACTTTGCACCTTGGTTTCCTTGTACAGAATATGGAGCTCATGCTCTCTCTCTCTTTGAGTGATCAATGATGAAGAACCTTCAGACTTTACTGGGTGAGTTTGTGTATATTGAGCATTACAAAGCGAAGTCAGTCTGCCTTTCTCTGGCTCTAATTGCAGGAAGTGAAGTCACGGCTTTTCCTGTCTTGGATCAAAACCAGAAAGAAATTGTTGATACCAATGGAGCTGGAGATGCATTTGTTGGAGGTACAGACTTGTTTATTTCATACTGACTTTTAAGTTAAACATTGCCTTTAACCCTTGTCTCTACCCATAGCCAAGATTTTTGAATTTAATAGCTTTTAATTTCTTCTTTTAGATAATTAATTCCTAATATTCTTTCCATATGCTACTGTCATTGTAAGTTTTATGAGACTATTTTACTACAGGAAAAATATGTACTTTTGGCTTAAAGGTAATTTACTATTATGATATATGCCAGTCATTTTCACAAGATTTATTGTGTCTGTCAGAATATTGCATAAACAAGCTGCATCAAATACAGTATATAGCATATTCAAAGCCCTTCAGGCTTAAATGTTAACAAATTGTTGTTCTTTAAAACAAGTTGTGGTGAATATTAAACAGTATGCTAATAACGAAGAATGATGTCTTTGCATTTATATTATTTGGTTAAAACATCTTTTTAACACAATAGTTAGAAGTTTATTGTACTAGGAAGGGTTAAATTTTGGTCTGGTTCAGTCTTGGTAAGAACTGGAACAATTTATAAGGACTAAATCATTTTTGGAATGAGTACTCAAAAAATGACATCAAGACAGTTGGAAGATTCTTGGCTTGATGACTTAGATGGATCTAAAATCTGATTTAAAGGTTCTTTTGATACATCTAAACTCATTCTAGTTAGTGGGGTGGTTAAGCTATGTTATAGTCTCTAGAAAGCTTTAGATTCCTGAATGATAACCCGGAAGAGTCTCCTGATTTCCGTTTATTTCTCATAACATCAAGCAAGACAAGGAAAAAAATGCAAATAGAGGTGACCATTGTCCTCCTTTCTTTGGAAGATAATTTGAGTCATGGGAAACCTATTCAAGATTGCCTGATGGTTTTAACTTAGTCTTGTTTAAAATATATATATTCTTCTATTTTAGTAGTCTTTTTCACTGACGTTTTTCATATTTCCTTCTTTGAAACTATTCATGCCTAGTCTTAAATGAGCTATTAAACATTATACTGGCAGCATGCCCCATGCCCTATTCTTTGGAAAGAGTACATACCACAGATACCATTCTATTTGACTGTCATGCTTGCATCTTTTATTTCTTTGCTCTGAAAGTCTTCATCATCGATTAAATGCTAGTATTTTGCAGCTATTTTTTGTATTCCATACTGCATCAGAGCTATAAATCCATTTAGGCTAAAAATATCTTATCCAGAATTGGGCCAAATTCCATAATACCTCAAGGAAACACTGTTAATTTCTTGGTTAGAAATTGATTAAACAGGAGTCTTAGTACAGAAACTTTTAACATGTACCCTGTGTTTACATTATTTAAGTACTTTAAAATATTCTAAGTAAGTATTCTATTTCTTTGACATTTAGTAGGGCACATCGTGAGGCCATCCTAGATATGATGGTGATTTGATTAGCCACTACCTCTGACCCTAGAGTAACAGATTCCCTTAGAGACACCTAACTACCTGTAATCTTTCTTCGAGTACTAAGTAGGAATATACAGACTTTTTGAGGGAGAGAGGAGCCGTTCATAGGATGCTAGGAACAGCTAGCTACCTATTTGTGTTGAGGTTAGGGTGATAAATGAGCTACCTCCTCAAAGCACTTGGGCTCTTTGTTACAGGGTTTTTTAGCCTCTCTTTTATATCACTCTACTTACATAGCTTCATTATATACTTATTGTTGGGGTACAGTGAGGCAAGTAAAAAGGAAAGAATGTGGAACTGCGATCTGCAAACTTTTTTGTAAAGGGTCAGATAGTGAATATTTTAGGCTTTGCAAGCCATATACAGCCTGTTTTGCATAGTTCTTGTTTTGTTTGTTTTTTTGTTTTATTTTTGGTTTTTTAGAACACTCTAAAAATGTAAAAACCTTCTTAGTTCTCCAGCTGTCCAAAAGCAGGCACTGGGCTGGATTTGGCCCTCTGGCTATAGTTTGCCAACCCTTTGTGTAATACGTTGGCAGCTTCCTCACTTTACTCACTTTCATCATACCCTGGGTCCACATACTGGATTTCGCTATACATATTGAAATCATATAGAGAAAGTGGAAGGCAAGCTGAAATTAGGCAGGACTTCACTGGTAATACCTCAATTAGGTTGCCGTTTTTCTCACTTTAACCCTGCTCTGATCAGTTCCTGGGATAATCAGGTCCTGAAAGACTGAGTCATGCAAGGAGATGAATACTCTAGTGTTATTTTAATAATGAAATACTTATGTTGGCATGTTCAACACATTCTGTCTATGTAAGTCAAGCTACATAGTAATAGCAATAGATAACATTTATATAGCACCTACTAGCTATCTTAAGCACTTTACATATATTAACTCATTTAATGTTTGTAAAATCTCCTTGAGGTAGCTTGTTTTTAACCCCATTTTACTGATGAGAAAACTGAGACATGAAGGTTTAGGTAACTTGCCCAAAGTCTCATAGCTAGAAAGTAGCAGAGCCAGGATTTGAACCCAGATAATCTGGTTCCAGAGTCAATGCTCTTACTCACTGCACTATGCTACCTGTCTAAACTTTTAGGGAAATCTCATCATTAGGACTGAGAACCACAGACCAGCCTTACTAACAAAAGCTGGTTTTGCCAAAAAGAATCTTCCTATTATCTAAATAGATGACATTACTTATTGAACAGGAGCTTTTGTTATCTGATAGGACTCTGAAGACTCTAGGGCAAGACTGTTGCAGAAAAGAAAGAGAAAGTGAAAGGGAGGAGAATTGAAGAACTGTAGTAACCAATGAGTTTGAACCAGAAGCTTCTGTGCTAAGCAGTAGAATGGATTGTACTACAGAGATACAGAAAGTCAGATCATAAACTTGTTTGGTCAGCATGGAATCTGAATACAGTGAGTTATAGCACCAAGCTGATGCATTCATCTTAATAGAGATGATCTTGTTAGTTAGAAATATTCAAAAATTCCTTGGTTAAAACCCCCTACTCTCATCTCTACACTAGGGAAGCCTTTCTGCTAGGACTGGAAATACTCCAGCTGTTGAAACATACTCGCCTACCTTGTACATGAATGAAGAGACAATGGCAACTTTTACATTTACCATGTAGTTTCTTTCTTTGCTTTATTGCCTGATTAAATGTCTCCTTTCTGATTGACTCATTCTATCTTTAGATAGTTAATGTATTCTATTACTTTCAAGTCTAGCTGGCTTAAGAGTATTTCTGTCTTTTGTGACTTTGCATAACTATATTCCAGTCCTAATTTCAAGTTCTTTGTAAAGCATTACTTCACCTACCATGTGCTAATCACAAATCCCGGTACCAGAGTACCATGTATTCTTACTAGCTGCACAAGAGATAAATGACTACATCATAGATTTTCGTGTATAATTTTTTTAAGATTGGCCCTGAGCTAACATCTGTTGCCAGTCTTCTTTTTTTCTTTCTTTCTTGTTCTCCCCAAAGCCCCCCAGTACATAGTTGTATATTCTAGTTGTATGTCCTAGTTCTGCTATGTGGGACACGACCCTAGCATGGCTTGATGAGGAGTGCTAGGTCTGCGCCCAGGATCCGAACCAGCGAAACCCCAGGCTGCCGAAGCGGAGCATGCAAACTTAACGGTTCAGCCACAGGGCAGGCCCCTCATGTATAATTTTTAAATGAGTACCTCAAATGTACATAAATTAAATTTGTGGTTCCATTTCAAGGGTTTAGTGAGTGGCAAATCTCTCTGGCATCTACAAGCATACCTCCATGTTCTATTTGGATATCTTAAGCTCTTCGTAACATTTGCCCCTTATTTGTCATTAGCCAGCCCTGATGGAACTGCCCTATTCACATTCTCCCTCAAAAGCCCAAGTGCTACGATTGTACCCTTGGCATTGGAGACAATTGTATAATCTCTAAGTATGATTTCCTAATTTCCCAGGTCAGGAGAAAATTTCTTCCTGTTGTCCTGCTGTGCTTTGTCACAGCAGGTCTGCCTTTTCATTTGGAACTCTCTTTGTCACTGCCTTAGTAACAAATGGAAAGATTGAGAACATTTTGTGACAGACACTGTCATTGTTCCCAGTGAAATCTCTTCCCCTATGTCTTCCCAGTAAATGAAACTGAGAAGAAAAATCATAACAAATAACATGAAAGGGCACCTAATCAATATGTTCCCAGTGGACTGTCAATACCAGCCTGTGTTAATCTAATGTGATTTAGTTGTATGTCTTATGGCAGCTGTAGGCATATGCACTGTACCTACAAATTATCTTTAGACTAAAAGTGAGTACATCTTTGACAGATTAAACCCAGGAACATATATATAAAAGACTAGAGACCTCACCCAAGGCCAGCATTTTTAGGATTAAAAAAGCTTTGTTAAATGTGGTTGGGTCCTCTGTAGCTTAGAACAGTTTATTTTGAATGATAGTAAAGTAGCTGCGCTACCTCTAATACTTATATTTTCAAATTTCTCATAAGAGCTTTAGCAGAGAAGATGTATTACCCTAAAAGATGTTACCTACAATATGCAAATAACTCTTAAAGCCACTTTGCAATCACAATGTAAATAATTATTCTATTTCCCAACTAATAAAAAGGAGCATTAATTTCACTTTCTAATTTATGTTCAGAAAGGAGTTTCAGTTAAAAAAAAAAAAAAAAGATTTAAGTTTCCAGAAGAGGGAGGCTACTTCTTTTTCATGTTGGACCTACGTGTACTTCTGAGAGCCACAGGGATTCTCTAAATTACCTTCGTATTTTCTATTCTCACCTTGTTTGTCTGTTCCCACACATTTGTAGCTTCCTCTCCCATTCTCCTTAATTGCTGTTTTCCAACATATAGGTCACACAATGTTATTTGAGTTCATGACTAGTTGGTAGTCAATATGAAGTCAAAACAAGACAAACTTTTACTAACTAGACTGCATAGAAATTGAAAGAAAAAAGTTTACATCTGAACACTTTTCAGCAGGGGGAATCCATTACTTTGTCACATCTGAATAGTCTAAGCTAGCCAAATTGAAGTGGGAATTTCCTGCCAGATGTTAGTTCTTTGA